TCAAATCATTGCTCGATTTGAATCCTAAAAAGCCCAACATTTCCTCAGTCAATAGGAGTTTGGGGAAGTATCTATCTATCATATTATCTATCATAAATATTAATTTATGAACTATCCCTTTAAGAATAAAAACTCAGTCAGTCAAAAATTATCTTGGTAACACACTGTAGAATCGGGCACTTGGTCATCTTGACAGACTTCCTGGGATCACTTTGCCTTTTCACAGTCTGTTGTTGAACTCCTGGAGGAACAAAGCAGAACTGCTAATGGTGAACTGTGTTTAGATGAAGCAGGTGAGACATGTGTAGGAGACAAACTGCAGTATGACGGTTACAAAAAGCTCTATAGCGTACCATGATGCTGTGCTGATATCAGATTGCAAATAGAGTATGCATGTTTCCTGAGACTCAAACAAACAGATGACCTTGCAGATGACACTTCCTTTTTTTAGTTACAGGACCATATTCATGTACAAAGATATTTACTTGATACTACACAGCAAAATAACAACAAAGCAACAACAATATCAACAACAAAAAGATAAACAGAAAAAGAAAATAATTGACAGTTATATGATCTGACGTGTCTTTGGAAACATTTATTTTTCTTTCCTCATACAATGGCGGGTTTATCGACCTTCTATCCTGTTAGCAAATGTAAACATGTCCTTCTGTTTGTCATCAGAGTGTTTTTATTTTCCCCCAGCTAAGAAAGGATTGCCCTAAAGATCACTCACAATGGGGTTGTTCCAGCCCTGCAGGATGATACATTGGTGGAGCAGGTTTGATTGGGGAGCAATCTTTCCTCTTCAGGAAGTCATTAACACAGCGGTGAGACAGTAGTGAGCAGAAGCCTCATTTTTCAATGCAGGGATGATCTATAAAAGAAGGCTTTGGGGGGAAACGCAGGTAACCTGATTTGTGTGAGCCAGAGAGAGAGACAGATAAAATAAATTGTGTCTTCTTGGTTATGACTAATGCCCCAGTGTTTCACTTTCTGAGGAAACTGTCTGGATTCTGGGATTGCCTCAGATGAGTGTTCAATAAATATCAGAGAAATAACTAATCTTAGTAATTTTTATTTTTTTTCCCCAAATAGGTGGATGTAGGAATGGGACAAACAATTGTGATGATAAACAATTCTGATATAGTTCTCAGTGCCATTTTCAACTTGTTGTTTAAATGTCAGTATCAAACTATTTCATTTTTGTTCCTAGTCCAGAGACATTTCTTTGGAGAAACAGTGATTTGTCATTCTTTATTCAGGCCAGACCTGAAGGTGAAGTGTATAAGTGTGTGTGTGTGTGTGTGTGTGTGTGTGTGTATATATATATATATATATATATATATATATAATACAATTTTAAAACGTGCATTTTTGCACTTCAAAAGTAAAAAATCTGAGACCTTGTTCCCCCTTTCTATGTTCATTTTCTAAAACTGCACACACTAGCTATGATATAAATCTATCTTACATATCTACATAAATATAATTTATTTTGTGCAGAACAAGCTGTTACTTTAACACAATCACTCCTCCGTTCATATGTGTTTGAAATGGTTAATTTTGACAAATTCATCTGAGGATTGAGGTGCAATATTCAGGGTCAGTGGAAACATGGAAACAACAATTACAATAGGGAGGTGGAACATTCACCACTAAGAAGTGGTCTGTTCTATGTTCCCAAAAGTAATAACGATGTCAGCAGGTTGAAATGAATTAGACTAAATTGAAGAATATATTGATCATTAAAAGTTTTCCTAAATTAATTTTAATTATTAATTAAATTAGATTTGAATTGTTCCAAAAGCTAAAATATAACGAATTATCGTGATAAACAGACACTTACAGACAAAACACGTTATCTCACAAAACAGCATTCTGCTGAGATTAAATGGAATGTGAATTTAATTGTCATATTTACTAATTATTTTAAAAAAAAAATGCAAAGTAACATCTGCTGTAGACATTAATATTTCTAGCAAAAACATGTCTCAGGTTACGCATGTAACCATGGTTCCCTGAGAAGGGAACGAGACACTGTGTGCTTTAGCGGTTTCAATGAGGAACAACTTCAGCGTGACTGGTGTCTGATGCACATGTCTAAACATGACAATAACATTGGTTGGCGACAGGCTATGATGTTACTACCGGCGTGACCATAGTATAAAAGGGTGCCAGGAGAATATGTCATCCGCTTCTTCATCTGCAATAACGAAGCATGCATTCTGAAGCATGTCAAGTAAAGAGGACACAGTGTCTCATTCCCTTTTTCAGGGAACCATGGTTACATGCGTAACCTGAGACGTTCCCTTTTGAGGGAATTCAAACTGTGTCCTCTAGCGGTCGCTATGGGGAACGGAATACCCACGCTGCCATGCTGAGGGAAGTGCATGCCATTTATTCTGAGGCGAGCACTAAGCACCAACTCCACAGTGAAACCACTGGAGTCGCCCCTCGGACACATCAGCGGCTGTCAGTGAAATTATCCCCTTTGGCCAAATTAAGGCATGAGCTACATACCCAAAATAACTTACCTGTTAAGGGCTGACAATGAAGCCCGGTCCCAGGGCAGAGCTCAAAGGCTTGGAATCAGATTACAATGTTATTCCTTTAAGGGGATATGGCCAGGCATCTAGGTTTCACCATATTACCAGACCCTGGCCTGTCACCTAGGTGGACTTCATACATCTACCCTTAATTCTCCCAGGGGGGGCTACATGATAGCCAACAACCTGACTGCCTGAGGCAGAGTCTCTGACTTGATACAACAAAAAGTTTTCCAGTGCAAAGGGAATTGCAAGGAACTGGAAATATACACCTTCACTGTACCTGAGACGGAGACTTCCCATAAGATCTCTCTCTCCAGATCCCTCGAGCTGGTAGGCATATACCCCCCCAGCGCAGTCAGATGGGAGACATTGTTAAGGTATCACTAAAGACACATATGTAGAGTGGGACCCAAGGTGAGAACTGGGGCCTGAAACAACTCAGAGAAAGGGTACAATGCTGACAGCGCATGACCCTTACCATAAATAGATTTCAGAAAGTGCACAGGATGCTCAGCGTGTGCGCTTACCATTAACATGGATTTTAGAAAGCACTCAGTGTCATTATAGAGGACATGAAGAGGCCTAACGACCTGCTATGACTGCATCATAGAGCTCTAGGGAGCAGATTACTCGACTCTTTGAGCAAGAGGAGGACTCATACTCAACCTTGTACATAACACAACTCCTGAGAGTAGCGTGCTCAATGTAACTCTTCAAGTTGTGAAGGGGCACTGTTGCTCACAGTCCTTCAGGAGGGCCGAAAGGACTGCCTAACAACCTGATATGACTGCTTCACAGGCCTAAAAGAGGCAGAACACTCAACTCTCAGAGTGAGAGAAGAACTCATATGCTCAGAAGGGCGCATGATGGGGCTTTGGGAATGGCATACTCATAGGAGACCCTCCAACTGAGGGGAATACCGCCACCTCAACCATAAGGGCAGTCACATGATGGGAGCTCCAGGGAGCTGCATGCTCAAAGTGATCCTGTAATAAGGGGAGCAATTCCAGGCTCAAACACTGAGGCGGTAATCAGGGAGGCCACACAAGATGCCCTAATCCACCTGGTATGGTTGTCTTTTGGAGCTCCAGGGAATGGAGGACTCAACCCTCATAAAAGAAATGGAAACTCAGACGCTCAAGCTTGGAGCGGCATGCTCATAGACAACCCTCCAGTATGAGGGTAGCACTACCAAGGTCAACCATAAGAGCAGCCTAACAGGGAGACAAAAAGATGACCTAACAACCTGGTATGGCTGCTTCACAGAGCTCCAGGGAGAGGAAGATTCAACTCTCAGAAATGAGAGGGTGGGCTCAGACACTCACCTTGGGAGCGGCGTGCTCATAGGTGACCTTCAAGAATGAGGGGAGCACTGCCAAGCTCAACCATAAGAGCAGCCCATTAGGGAGGCAAAATATGGCCTAACAACCTGATATTCTGCCTACGGAGTACTTGGCTCTTAAATCAAGAAGATAAGTCACTTGCTTGCTCTGGAAGCAGCAGGCTCACAGATAACCCTCCCGCAGTGAGGGGAGCACTGCCAAGCTCAACCATAAGCAATGGCTGTATACAGAGCCCTGAGAGCAGAGTACTCGATTTTCAAATTAACAAGGAAACTCACATGATCAACCTGGGAACAGCAGGCTCATAGGCAACCCTCCCATAGTGAGGGGAGCGCTGCCAAACTCAACCAGAAAGGGCAGTCTAACAGGTTAGCAGAAAGGATGTCTCTCAAACTGATAGAACTGAACACAAGGCACCGTTACACTCTCAATATCATACCTCAGTATAAAGGAAGCATGAGGGTCCCGTACAGCTTGAAAGGAGCCTGCTGAAGAGGCTTGTGGTAGTGGCAGGCTCTTGCACTACCCAGGGGAGCACCAAGGGGAGCAATGCCAGCCCAACCATGAAAACAGAAGGGGACCCAAAACCATTCATGCACATGAGAAGGGCTCCTCAGAGAGCGTACTCAATAATAGGCCTTCAGAATGAAGGAAGTACCATCATACTCATACCTCAGGGGAAACAGTGTACTAAAGTCATTCACAAAGGGAGGAGAGATTCAAGCCATGAGGGCAGTATAACAGGGAGGTCCATAGTGGTCCTGACAACCTATCATGATTGCAGAGCAGGATTCCAAGAGCAGAGTTACTCAACAACTCAACAAGAGAAGAATTCAAGCTCAGTACATGTGCAGAATGGTCTCAGGGAGCTTAGATCTCAATGGAGCCCCTCAGGGCGAGATATGAATTAGCTCACATCATGAGCAGCCTGGCCAGGGTGGCTTCTCGAAGCCAAAGCACCCAGCGAGGTCATCAGGGAGCATGGTATGCAGTATCACTCTGGAGTAAGAGGAGTACTGCCATGCTCAAACTGGAAGCTACCACCTCAAGGAGACCTGGAGGACCAATAATTGACTGACCTGATTCAATTATTCCTCTTGTACTATGGCTACCACACCTGAAGTCATCGTTCAGATGTTGTACTTCAAGATATTCATCAAGTTTTTGTTCTTAAAAAGCTCCTGTGAGTAGGATTAATTTCATACGCATCTCATCCCACGCCTCCGTTGCTAATTCCAAATGTCATTTTAGTGCTAATTACAGACTAATACAGTTATTTATGCAGTTCATTAATTTATTAATGGAATTAGAGAGAGAGAGAGAGAGAGAGAGTGAGAGAGAACGAGAAAGAGAAAGATAGAACGTGATTAAACTTGTGTGAATTACCTGAGTCTGTTTGTCTCTCAAGTGTTTGGCAGCAGCATCTCTACTAACAGTGAAACTTTTCATGAAGTTTATCTGCTTAAAGAACAACACTGTTATTACCTCGCTAGTGAGAAGTGCCAGATAGCTTTTAACTTGCTTAACTAACAACATGTTTCTGTGCGTGTGTATATTTCCGTGTGTGTGAGGGTGTCCGTACTGCGTGTATGTATTTGTATGGGAGAAAGCAGGAGAAAGAGGGTATGGGCTTTCCATACATAATACAACTTAATTTTGTGGCAAAAACATGAAAATAATTTGTCATTTTTATCCTATTGTTTACTATATTTGCTTGGTCAGTGTCATTGAGGGTTTCGGTTCTTTTGCTGCCCTATTTACTGTATACACATTAATCGAATTGTTTCTTATTTGTGAATTGACTCGATTTAACAAAGTTATGTGGTTGGGAAAAAAAACAAAAAAAACTCCTATATTTTTACTTTGTGGACAAAAGTAGGTACCCATATAGGAAATGAAAGGGAAATGCCATAATTCAGAATATTTATTTTTGTTTGTCCAATAAAAATCAATAAATCTAACACAATGCAGATCATACATACACATAAATGAAGGGGTGAGTCTATACAACACTCTCAATGTGGCAAAAACATGAAAATAATTTGTCATTTTTATCCTATTGTTTACTATATTTGCTTGGTCAGTGTCATTGAGGGTTTCGGTTCTTTTGCTGCCCTATTTACTGTATACACATTAATCGAATTGTTTCTTATTTGTGATTGTTGATTTGTTTCTCTCGTTATGTTTTTCACTTCAGAATAATCCCATTGATGAGTGTTTGGAGGGAGTGTTTTAAATAAATGGTTATAATAAGCATTTGGGGTGAAATGCATGTGAGCTGTGGATTTCATTTGCTTCCTTTATCTGAATTTGTGTTTTAAAACTGTTGGCCCTCCAGATGCCTTGCATGTCCTGTAGACTTCCATCAATTTGTTACATTAAATAATTACAACTTAATACAGGCCCTATTGCAAAAGATAAAAAGGGGGGCACCAGCGCATTGCCGTCTTGTCTTTTTCAGGAAGAGTTCCATTGAAAATGATTGGCTAAGTGCCTTCTTTTTTATGGGAATATTGTGTGAAAGGTTTTCTTTGTGGAGACTGGTTAGTGATCTTTCATCTAGGACTTATGAATCTGAGTACTACCTGATCAAGAAAATCAGTACAGTGTTGTGGCGCATAATGTTGAATCAAATACATGTTCTGAGGTTCTTAATGTGTAAAGGAAGGAAAAGGCTTTTATCTTTTTATCTTGTCTTCCTGCTGGGCTGTAAAGTCAGGGATGTGTATGTGTTTATATCATCAGAGCAGAACCTACTATCCTCTACTATTCAATTTCACAGTATCCTCCATGTCTATTTATTTAACCCTCAAGCATCCTTTGGAACAAATGTGGGCAATTATTTTATATATATATATATATATATATATTTTATTATTATTTTTTTTTTTTCTTTTCTTAATATATTATATAATTTCCTTAATCTGTGTGGTACAAAACTTGGCTATTTTTTTTTTTAATCTTGCCACCTGAAGACACACACACACACACACACACACACTTCAAAGTCCCACTGCAAGATAAACAAACAAAAAAAAAACATGTCTGAAACATGCTACTTTCTAGGTTTATTGTTTACTCTTACCTCGTTGGTACCATTTTACCTTTTGAGTTATTGAAATGTGATGTTTTTTTTTGTTTGTTTTGTTTTTTTAAGAAATAAAATAAATATAAATAAATGTTAGAAATAAATGATTACTCTGTCTCCTTCTTTGTCTTGTATGTTTTTTTATAACAATGTTAAACTATCTAAATCTCTCTGATCAAATCTAAAACTTAAGAGATTAAGTTTGTTACTATGATTTATAGATTTCAGCATATGCAGCCACTGAGTATTACAGCCAAATAGTGGCTATTTATATTTTTGATATTTTGTTACTTCGTACATCATATGTCACCAGATGTCACCAACTTTTCAGGTTTTGGCTGTCTGAACTTACTGGAATGATTTTTATTTCATTTTTTTTGTTTTTTTTGCTGACATAAAATAAATATTAAATATAACATAACAATAAGCATATTTTATATTCAAATTATATTACTTTTAGAGGTGTAAAAGAACACAAAAAAATCATAAATTGATAGTTTTTATTTTATCGAAAATAGTGATATGACATTTATTAAACAAAAATAAAAAATAAATACAAATATTGGGATCATACCTGAGACCTTTGTGTCAAATTCCTCCATGAAGGACCAATTAAGGGCTGCTATACGAAGAATGCTTGAGGGTTAAAAGGTAGCATCAGCTCCACACCACAGGAACCCTTATTTTGACATCAATAAATGACTGCTATCCCATGATGCATTTATCTGCATGCTATTACTGACAGATAAACCATTCGGGGACCAAGCAAAACACAGAATTTAGCCTTTAGCCACTTTTCTATAATTGTAATCGTTTATTACCCATTTGTTGCTCATGCTTGTCAATGCTAATTTGTCCATCATTTGTATGCCCATTAACACAGATTGGAGTGTGTGTTTCTGTGTGTTTGTTTTGGCTGGGCACCCAGTGACACTGGCACTACTTTATACTGAACATCTAGACTATGAATTTGCTGTGTCGCCTATTCTGTTTTTATGTTTTTCATTAGTTGCCATACAAAATAACATGTACAGTCTATACATATTCACTTAGACAGTGAAACACTGATATGGATGTACAAACACAGGGACATATACACAGACTCATACATTATGACTTATACAAGGACACTGTTAAATGGATAGTTCACCCAAAAAAATAATATTTGCTGTTAATTTACTCACCCTCTAGCAATCCAAGATGTAGGTTTTTTTTTTTTTTTGAGTAGAAGGCAATCAGACAATGAGGAAATCCAATTATTTTCTTCTAAGAAAAAAAGTAACCCACATCTTGGATGGCCTGAGGGTCAGTAAATTTACAGAAAATTTTCATTTTTGGGTGAACTATCCTTGGGCACACCACGTGATAAATGTTCACTTTTAAGACAATAAACTTCATCAACATGTCAAATTCTATTGTGTTGCTGTTGAAGAATAGCTGGTGATGCGGATTTACTTGTTGTAGAGTTAACACAATTTATCATGAGCATTGTAACGTTTGAAGCAGATGTCATAACAAATGTCAGTAGACCGGGAACATTTTATAACGAGTGTTTCATTTTTAAATCCGTAAGATCTTACCTTCATGCTGTGGAAATACAATCTGGAAGATGGAAGAAAATGAGTGCAGTGTTGAAAAGGGGCGGAGCTACATAAAGTCTAAAGTTTGCTGGTTTCAATGAGGTTTTGGGTACTTTCCACCTGGACCGGGAAGGGAGATCATTTGGCTGACCATTTAAACCAGCTGAACACCAGCTTAAACCAGTTAAAACCGGTAAACCCTCTGGTTTAAGTTGTTAAAGCTCTGCTTGGGACACCCATTTGGCCAGCCGTTGTTGCATGCTGTAGCAACTCGTAAACATGCAGGAAAACCCAGAGCAGTGTGATCTGCCTCTCCAGGCTCTGGCCGGTGGGTCCTGACGTGTACTGATGGGGTTGTCAGCATGAGACTGTTCACGGTAATCCAGTTGGGCTTGTTTAAGGGCTTGCTGCTTTAGCTCACAGCTGAAAGGCTAATTTCATCAGCCTGCATTGCTATGCATCTCAGCAAATGGTATTAGCCTCAAATGAGCTGATAGAGCCAGACGCTCTGTTGATTATCAACAACTATTACTCATCCTCTGCATCGTTTCCCACTGCTCAAGCCCAGCCGAGTGCATGTGAGAGAGAGAAAGAGAGCGCCGGTGAAATAGACGGGAATAGAGAGGGGGGAGTATCCTTGCGCTTTGAGACCATATGGGACATGCTGAACCCTAACAGAACCAAAGATTGTGTAATCTTCTGTTTTCAGGCCAATTTAACACACTAGACAAATGTTTACATAATTAGTGGTGATTGTTAAAGGTTAAGTGAGTAAGTTCTGTGTCACTACAATTACCTTACAAACAGGTTTCTTGAACATTCCCCTCATTTGCTTGTGCTTGGAAAGCAGAAACAACACACCGATGATTGAGCCGATATTGCTCTGTTGGGATGCTAAAACACAGCGATGTTTTGATAGAGCCAGGGTCGTAACCAGTATAGACAAGTCCCCTCAATAATTAGATATGGCCTGATTGTCTCCTTCAATAATTGATATTCTGATCAGCTGCACTCCATGACACACTGCTTTCTGTGTTGTTAGTATGACAAAAAGTATAAAACGGTATTTGTTGAGGGTAATCTGCCTAAAATGCCAAAATGATTGAGATGGCCGATCGATTCAAGGAAAAGCGAGCTTTACTGTTCTCAGAAGCTGAACATGAAAGTGCAACACTTCAGTTTTAAAGGGGTCATGACATGTTTTTGATTTATTTTATTTTATTATGTTACCTGAGGTGTAACTATAATATTACTAAAGTTTTTTGAACTATTATGCTATTATTATATTTTAAAATAAAATATTTGCAGATAGTTCAAATGCTTTATAATATATTCTACTTTTCTATTTTTTTTGTTTTCTTTTTTTTCTTCTTCCTATATTCTCTTAAATCCCTTCAAATCCTTTAATTCCTTTAAATCAAATACCATTAAATATACCAATAAAATACC